ATTTCTGTGCACTGAGGACAAGCAAGTCCTAGGTTACAAACGGAACTCTCCAATGCAAGAACAAGATGCATTTCTTTCTTTAGGAGGTGCTATTGTCAGAAGAAAATAAAAAGGTTTCAGGTTTGTTTTTGCATGTGGGTGGGTATTCTGTTTGTAATAGTTGTTTGGATACACTATATTTTTAATAGGCTAGTTGTGATAATTTCATGCCAAGTAAAAATGTCCATAGTCATATTTTATGTTCCTAAAGTAACAGAATGACTTTCAATCTAGAAAAGACAAAATAAATGCTAATGTAGCATTTTTTTTCAATTTTTCCGAAAATTTCCGTTTTTTTCCGGAAAAAAAACGGGGGAAAACCGGTTTTTTTCCCGAGCTTCAAAATTTCCGGAAATTTTACATCTCTACCCACGAGTCCATGGTTTGCTCGTACTCAACTGTGTGATCTTCATAGCATAAAACACTCATCACACCTATCTGTCTGCCCGGCCATATAAATCCCAAGATGGCAGCTTTAAAGACGTCAACTTGGTCTCTCACCCAGCGCCCACGAAGTTTTTTGGGTTAAATTGTCCATTTCAGCCACTCCAGTAATTTTTGTTAATAAAATCGTGCTTCCTTGGCAGCTCTTCTTTCTTCCAAAACTTTGCCAATACCATCCTTGCTGCAGTTAAATGAATAATCAGATATTTATCACATTTGTGTACATTATCCGGCAATATATTTAATAAAAATATTTCAGGGTCTAAAGGGATCTGAATTTTCGTTATTGGCATTACTACCAAGTGAATCTCCTTCCAAATTTTTTTAACTACACTGCAAGCCCACCATATATGATAGAATGAGCCCACCTTGCCTTTCTCTCTCTCTCCCTCCAGCCCTGACCTACCATTATGAGACGCAGTGTATTCCCACCCCGGCGGCGTGGTTCGCCCACCAGTTGCCCGTCTGGTTCCAGAAGTTCAGCGTGGTGGCCACCTACGCCATCGAAATAGCCGTCCCAGCCCTCTTCTTTGCCCCGGTCCGCCGCCTCCGGCTGTTTGCCTTCTACTGCCAGGTAGGTCTGGGCCCAGAAAGGTGTTCTTGCCGGTACGTGTGCAAAGAGAACAGTACCAGTCAGCTTGTTTGTCATTGAGCTCCAGCCATGCTCTGCTGTTGGTGTGAGAAACGGAATCGCCACAGGAGTTCTGGGGGAGCCAGTTTGGTGTGGTGGTTGAGTGCACAGACTGTAATCTGGGAGAACCGGATTTGATTCCCCACTCCTCCACTTGCACCTGGCTGGATGACCTTGGGCAAGCCATAGTTCTGATAAGAGCTGTTCTTGAAAAAGAGCAGTTTCTGTCACAGGAGCTCTGGGGGAATGGGGGAGCCAGTTTGGTGCAGTGGTTAAGATTAGAGAACCGGGTTTGATTCCCCACTTCTCCACATGCAGCTGCTGGTGTGACCTTGGGTCAGTCACAGTTCTTTCAGAGCTGTTCTCTCAAGGACTGTTCTCAGGAGAGCTCTCTCAGCCTCGCCTACCTCACAGGGTGTCTGTTGTGGGGAGGGGGAGGGAAAGGAGTTTGTAAGCTGCTCTGAGACACCTTTGGGTAGTGGAGGGCGGGGTATAAATCCAATCTCTTCTTCTTCACCTGCTGACCCACCGTGAGGGGATTGGAATTGTGAACTGGTTGCCTCTCTTTGACCCAGCTCCCGCAGGGATTCTTTGCCTCACGGTGCACTCAGTACAGGAGAGACAGCATGTTGGTAGCGGTTAGCATGTCACACTGGGATCTGGGCTACCCATGGTTCACATTCCCCCTCTGCTGTGGAAGCTTGCTGGGTGACCTTGGGCCTAACCTACCTCACCGTGTGGTTCATAGAATCATGGAGTTGGAAGGGACTTCCAGGGTCATCTAGTCCAACCCCCTGCACAATGCAGGGAATTCACAAATACCTCCCCCTCCACACCCACAGTGACCGCTGTTCCACGCCCAGAAGATGACCAAAAAACCTCCTGACCCCAAAGTGGCGATCAGCATTTTCCTGGGCGTGTTTAAAAAGGGCCACAAGGACTAAGCACGGAGGCAACCCGTCTTGCCCTCCCTCTCACGATCTGCCTAAGCTCACACAATCAGCATTGCTGTCAGATGGCCATCTAGCCTCCTGGTATTTCTGGCCATTGTGTGACACAGAGCGTTGGACCGGATGGGCCACTGGCCTGATCCAACATTGGCTTCTCTCATGTTCTTATGTTAATAATGATTTTTGTCCAACAAAAAAATGCCTTTCAGGTCCTCCTGCAAGTCCTGATCGTCCTGACGGGCAACTACAACTTCTTCAACCTGCTGACCGTCACCTTCTGCTTCTCCCTGCTGGACGATGACCACGTTGGGCTCTGGCTGGGCCGTGGCCGGAAGAAAACAGGTTCCTGTGAGTGTCTGCCGGCTGTGTCTATTTAGCTCTCCCTAGGACGTATCCACGCTTCAGGGGAGGGAGGCTAACGAAGCGCTTTGTTCCTGTATCTGTAAGGTGGGCACTCCCAGGAGCAGCGGGTGTAGTGGTTGGAGCCTCTTTGAGCCTGTGAGCCTGTGAGCACCTTTAGAATCCAGACACAGTGTGAGGAAGAAGAAGAGATTGGATTTATACCCCTTGCCCTTCACTCCGGGTCTCAGAGCGGCTGACAAATGCCTTTCCCTTCCCCTCCCCACAACAGACACCCTGTGAGGTAGGCGGGGCTGAGAGAGCTCTTTCGAGAACTGCCCTTTCAAGGACAGCTCTTGTCAGAACTGTGGCTTGGCCAAGGTCATCCAGCAGCTGCAAGTGGAGGAGTGGGGGAATCAAACCCGGTTCTCCCAGATTGGAGTCCGTGCACTTCACCACTACAACAACTTGAGGGAGAGGCGGTTGACCCCTTCCTCTTCCTTTGGGTCTCGCTGGCAGCAGCTCCAGTGTAAAGATAGCCCCAAGCAGCTCTTGGCAAGGACTTTCCTATGCCTGGGAGCCTGCAGAGCCCCTGTCTGTTGGGACTGACGTTCCTGAGCCAGAGCAGGGCTGTCGCCTGCAGCTGCTGAGTATGGATTGCTATATTGAAGAAGAAGAGTTGGATGTATACCCCTTGCCCTTCACTCCAGGTCTCAGAGCGGCTTACATCTCCCTTGTGAACTTTCCCCTCCCCACAACAGACACCCTGTGAGGCAGGTGGGGCTGAGAGAGCTCTTTCGAGGACTGCTCTTGAGGGAACAGCTCTGAGAGAACTTGTGACTGACCCAAGGTCACCCAGATGGCTGCATGTGGAGGAGTGGGGAACCAAAACCCGGTTCTCCAGATTAGAGTCAACCAAAAAAAAATCTTAACCACTAACACCAAGCTGGTGGATGCGCCCACAAACTGGCTGCCGCAGGAGGTGGAGCCGGCGACAAAATGGCTGCCGTGGGTTCCCTTCCGTTGTGCAGTGAAGATCTTTGCATTGTGCTGGCAACAGCTCTCAGAGTAACATTTTTTTAAAAAAAATCTGCGCAGCCAATCAAATCTCTGACAGCCAATTAAAAGCCTTGTTGGGCAAGAGCCCTACCCGGCCCCACCCACTTTCTTGAAGCACTTGGCGGGCGCCAGAAAAGTTGTCAGCAGACACCACTGTTAGAGTGTCAGGCTGGCCTCTAGCAGACCCAAGGTTAGTTTTTTCTGCTGCCCTGGGGCTCTCTGGGCGACCTTGGGCCGGTCACATGCTTCCACCCTACCTTACAGGGTTGCTGATGATAGAACGGAGGAGGGGGAATTACGTACTGCCCCATGACCTCTTCGCAGGGAGAGTGGGGTGAAAATGGCCTCGATACAGCAGTGGAGGTGGTCTTGCAGACGTGGGTGGGGGCCCCGTGGATTGCCGTTGGGCAGGGCAAGCTCAGTTGCTCTGGCACTCTTTTTTCCCCCTGAGCCCCTTCTCAGCATTCGATGATAACACTTGGTGTTGCCTCACCTTAAATCACTCCCATTCCTGACTTGAATTTGCCTCGAAGATTTTTCCACAGTCTCTGTAGTTCCTCTCTGCAGCCTTCTTTCACTGAAGAGCCAGTTTGGTGTCGTGGTTAAGAGTGCCGGACTCTAATCTGGGAGAACTGGGCTTGATTTCCCCCCTCCTCCTCCACATGCAGCTGCTGGTGTGACCTTGGGTCAGTCACAAGTTCTCTCAGGGCTGTTCTCTCAAGGGCAGTTCTCAAGAGAGCTCTCTCTCAGACCCACCTACCTCACA